AATACTGACACAGAAGATCACTGAGAGCCTTTCGTACCATGCAGGAAAGCTGCAGAAGAATTGTAGAGGGTAGTGATTTAATCAGATTTTCTCTTTAGAATGATGTCCCTAGTAAGGATGAAGAATAAGTCTTAAAGTGTCAGATTAAGGGGTGCTACAACCTAGATCGGAGGTGAACCTGAGGCTAGGATAAAGCAGGATGCTGTGCCACCTTTCTTTCCTTGTCAGAAAAGAGTTATTCCTCTGCTTCTCTTCCACCTACTAATATTTACTGAACACCCATCTTATTCCAAAAATTAAATAGACAGCGGAACTTGCATGAAACTTGAATTCTACAACTGAAGAGAGACAACAGCAATCAACAAAATTAAGTGAGGTAATTAGTATTGTGTAAGGGGGTTTAGAGGAAATAAACCAAGAGAGCTGATAGAGAATAGCAGGATGATCATTTCCATGTAGAGGTTACATAGAAACTAGAACCGAGGCAGTGAGAAGGAGCCCATCATACAAAGATCCAGAGAAATCGTGTCTTGTATAGAAAGAATTGCATGTGCAGAGGCCTCACGGTTGGGAAGCCTCTTAATATTTGAAGAATAGGAATGAATTTTTATGTAGGCCAAAGTCTTTAAACATTTTCCTTTTTAAATCAGTAAAGTGTAAATGCTAATAAACAATGAACAATGACTCTTTTGCTAATTGACAAATTATGTGCTATATATTCTCTGTGTTTATTATTTAAACCCATGGAAATTCAGCATTTGAACTAAAAAATGTATTCCAGGGACCACCTTAAACTTGATGGCTGCTGTTGAAATTTTGATCAGGTATTCAACTTACAGAAAATATTCAGCCTGTATACAAGTGCTTCTCAAGCCTCATGACACACTTGAATTACTTGGAAGATTTAAAAAATAATATGGATAGAAATTTTCTAAATTAATTAAAAATGTATACAGATCCATATTAGATCAATCAAATCTGCTTAGGAAGAGGACCAGGGGACGCTAGATGGCTAATTCATATTACACAGAGAAAACAATTGATGAGAGCCAGATAAAAAGACATTATTTTCTCCACTAATCCGCTGGACCACACACATGCATGCAAGAACCCAGTTAGTTCAGAGAGATCCTGGGATGCAAACACAGGACCTCTTCCTTGAGCATCTGGTAGCATTGCCACTGAGCCACCATCTGGCCCTTCCTAGTCTTGAAGAAACTATTAATAGATGGAAGAAGTAGAAGAGGAAGAAGGAGACAGAGGAGAAGAAAGAGGACAAGATGGAGGAAGAGGGGGAGAGGGAGGAAGGAGAGAGAAAAGAGGATTCCGGGAGAAGCTCCTCAACATTGCGTCATGAAGCCAGGGCAGTAGACCCGTAAAGGCTAAGGAATTGACCCAGGCATTCTCAGAGACTGCAACTACTTCTGAGGGATACAGGCTAGCAGCCAAATGTTCTCAGACCCCAAGAGGCAGAGAGGACTAGCATATGAAAAGGCTCGTTGGTACATGGAGACTCAGTCAATAGGTAATGTGTGGATCATATAAATTAGAAAGAATGTGATGAGCCTTCATATATCAACAGCATATGCGATACAGAGGACAATATCCATTAAGACACGATTTAGACATCTGGGGAGTTCAGAGATTTTGCATTACCCCAAGTGCCCCTCTCCTAATACTACGTATATTCAGTTTCCTGAGGCTGCCATCTCAAAATATCACAAACTAGGTGGCTTAAACAGAAATTTGTGACCTCGCAGTTCTGGAGGCTAGAGGTTGAGACTAGAGTTAGTTCCTCCTGAGGGCTGTGAGAGAGAATCTGTTTCATGTCTATTAGATTTAGTAAATTGCTGGCAATTTCTAGCATGCTTTGTGTTGTGAAAACTTCATCCCTGATTTCTGCCTTCCTTTTTGCATGGTATACACTCTGTGTGCATGTCTGTCTTTAAATTTCTCTTTTTTCATAAAGACACTAGTCATATTAGACTAGGGCCTATCCTAATGACTTCATTGCTAATTTGATTATCCCACCAATAACCTATCATAAGGTCACATTCTGAGTTATTGATTGTTAGGGCTTCAGCTTACACATGTTCAAAAGACACAATTTGAGCCATGACACCATTTGTACAAAGCCTAGGATCTCATTTCTAGCCACTGTTTTGGAGAATCTCTGAGCCAGGAACACTAGGTTATGTTAGGTAGATGTCTGTAGACAGTTTTCACTGAGCCACCTGCTGAATGATCTGGCACTCACCATTACATACATTGATACTGGATTGAGACTTGATATTAGTGGGGTGTCCTCTGGTGCACTCTATTTCTGTTCTCACCAAGTGACCTGTAAACTGACCCAAGTCAGTCATGTGTGCTCTCAAATATGTGTAAACCACTAGAACTTGCTATTGTAATTATGTCATACAAACTGATAAAATATGAATATGCAAAGAAAGGCTATCAGTAATCTATGAGAAATAGCTTGAATGGTTTAAAAAAACTTAATAATGATATATTGAAAGAATATTGCTAGCAAAATATAGTGGAAAATTGATGAAGGATCTGGGGGTGGGAAATCTTTAAAAAGCTAGAACTTTACACTTATATTTTTTTGCAAGTGCCTTAAAATTCTTTCTTCACTTTGAAAGAATAAAAGAATAAAACTAGTGTTATCAGTATTACCTAAGACAGACAAAGTGAACCTATTTTCTAGTACAATGGAAAAGTGACTTCCAGACTTTTGGAGATTACCAGGGCTGCCTCTCTCATCACAAGCTCAGAGTGTCGGGAATGAGGAACATAATAACTGCGAAGCTTTCCTAATGAATTACAGCTCTGTGCTCCCTGCTACCTCAGATATGGTCTCAACAGGCCTAAATGTATTGGGTGCTGCAGGAGCTGCCCCTCCACAGGGCACAAATGGTAAACATTGGTGATGTCCGTGTTGTGCCGTTTCTGTCAACATTCAGAGTACGTGCACGGTGGAAGCTTGGCAACCTAGATTTTAAAGGATGGAGCTGCCCATGCAACCCAGGCAGAGAATTACTGTAGGATGTAGTCACTACAGAGAGCTCCCATTTGGGTAATGTCATGGACCCCAGACCGGAAGAGCCACCAGTGTGCTACTCCAGTCTGGGAGAGTAGCTGCATGTGCTGTCCCTACCAGGGGTTAGAGCTTCCTGGATTCTTGAGAGACCAATTCATGCCCCTGTATGATTAGAAGGTAGGGCATCTAGTCAAAAAAGATTATTCTTGAGCCTGAAGACTTAAATTTCCCTATTGGATTTCGGACTTACCCTGTTATCCCTTTCTTCTTTCCTATTTCTCTCTTTTAGAATGGGAATGACTACCCTGGGCATGCCCTACCATTGTATTTCAGAAGTATGTAACTTGTTTTATTTCATGGGCTCATAACTGAAGGGGAATTTACTTCAGAATGAATCACTTCTGAGAATTTCCCATATCTAATGTAGATATTTTAATGAGACTTTGAACTTTAAAGTTGATAGTAAGACAAGTTAAGACTTTCGATGCTGTTAGCATGGAATACATGGTTTTGCACGAGGACATAAATTTGGGGGGAACCACAGGTGAAATGCTCTGATCTGAAGGTGTGCATCTCCCCCAAATTCATCTGTTAAGATCCCAACTCTTAAAGTGATGACTTTAAGAAGTGAGACCTTTGGACCTTTGCCCTTTTGAGGTGGCCCTCAGGAACTGATTTTCCCCTTCTATGAAGACACAACAAGTCTATTACCTAGAAGAGGACCTTTATCAGAATCTGATCATGCAGATATCTGATCTTGGACTTCTCGGCCTCCAGAACTGTGGGAAATAAATTTTGTTTACAATTTACCCAGCCTATAATAATTTGTTAGTAAATGAGTGGTGAATGAATGTACAGACTTATGGCTTAAATTAAAGTAGAATTTTTCAAGATATTATTTTTTGTGGAAATACCCTTTATCTGACTTTCTGAAGTACCTGCCAATACATCACTGTTCCCAACTGAAACAGTTAGAGGTATCATAGACTGTATGCATAATTCTCTGAGTGTTCCACATATTTCACTGCTGTATGGCTTTGAACATGCTGTTTTCTCTGCTGGCAAAAGCCTTCCCTGCACTCCAGGCTCCTTTACCTGCACACTCCAACTTATCCTGAACAACCTTATTAAGAGTGACCTCCTTCACATTCCTCCCTTGTGGCACTTCTTCTTAATGCATCCTTCATTTGTTTTTGTTCTTTTCTTACCCCCTATGTTTGGGGAATGCCCCTCTCCAGGAAGCAGTGCCCATTCTTACTGAAGAAGATGAAAAAATGTGTTACCCTCTTCTCTGTTACCCACTACTAGGGCCAAGTACATGAGCTAGGCATTGTTGCTGTGAACTGCTGTCTCCAGCACTGCCTTTAAACCAGCAGCCAGTGATGTGAAGCCACTTGATTGAGGCTGCAGCTGAGAATACTTTTGTGCTGAGTGGCAGTGATGGAGGTGACTATTTTCTTCTTCTGGAGGTATAATTGGCAGAAATAGGAGGCTCTTTGCCTTAAAGACTGGTTCTTTGGCCCTCACAGAAATTCTGTGAGCCCTCTAATTATGTTTAGTTCTTTTTCTGACCAAATTAACCCAATTGGCTTTTATTTCTTAAAGCCAAGAATCCTGATTGATATTTTTGCCTTAAAGTAATGGTGTGCTTGACACTGGAGCAGTTTCTAGATGTGGTTGTCCTCATGTGATTGCACACTAAAGTGTCCCATTTCACCTCCATTAGTCCAGTACCCAGCACAGTGCAAAGTGGTGCATAGCAGATCCACATGAAATGGTTATTAATTAATGTATTAAATAGTCAACTACTTAATTGTTGAAAAAAGATCCTCTGAAAACCCAAACCCAGATGAAGACAGCAAGTGATGTCAGAATATTTCCATTGGATGAGGATGCCTATGGTCCATTTTGGGTATCCCTTTAGCTCTAGTTTCCACAAAAGAAAAGTGCAACCAGGAAGAGTCTGTAACATTTAATTAAATATGAGATATTAACACACGTTGTATATTCATACACTTAGCAGCTCTACAAAATGTTTGTAATGCATGTGGAAAGCACACAGTCAAATCAAAGGTCTTCACTGTAGTGGATGATGGATATGTTTAAGAATAATCCCAAAGAAAAACTACTGAGCTGGCAAAATATCCCATCCGATCTGCATCGTTTCCAGGGGCCCAGTCACATTTTCTATCTTCTTGGCCCTTTCTTTGTTTCCTAGCTCCTTCAGTAGAGCTAAGAAAATACAACTACACACAACAGAAACAGATCATACTAGGCTTTTTGGAAGCAAAGTACCAGGAAATCACACTGAAAAGAGAGGTAAAGGCCGCCATAAAATTAATAGAAGTGGTTGTTTGATCAATTATCTGCCTATCTCTCAGTTGCCTTTTTATTTTCTGCCATTTTGGACTGGCTCTTTACACCTCTGACTGACACATTGTCTCCGAATAGGAGTTTTTCTTCCGTAATGTAATCTAAAAGAGGGTTGGGCAGAATCAATTTATAATCTTGCATTATACAATTGTCCCTGAGTATATAATCAAGCATTAGCAGCAATTATGATGATAAGAGTATATGGATTTTAAATGCATAAACAACATACAGACATGCATTCATTAAATTCAAATGATAACATATGTCAAAAGAAAGAAAACCACTGAAACACAGGATTCTAGAATTAGAGGGAGTTCTATGATCCTCTGAAGTTGTCTGCTCATTTCTTTGAGAGATGGTCTATTTACACAAGGGATATGGCATTATGGCTTCCGGTCCTAACTTAAGATGCAAAGTTGAAACTTAGCTGTTTTATGTACCAGTTTTCTCACAAGTCAAAGATAATAAATAATTCAACACACTTCGAAGAACCTGTGTGAATTGTTTATCAGAGACCTAGGCTGGGCAAGAGATTTTGTGTGACTCTTCTTTGAGATGTGGCTCTCATTTATACAAAATGTAAAGAATACCTGCCCACCTGATGGAATATGTCTTCTGCTACTTATAGGCAGATTCTTTTTTTTCTTCTCCATGCTAATTTATGTCATTTTTGTGGCATTTCCCCTAACTATTCCCAACAGGGCACTTTCAACATCCCTCCAATAGTTTCAATTATTATAATTTGTTTATAAAGCTGTCATCTTGGTTAGAATTTTGCACTCTCTGAGGCAAAGTCCTATCTTTTTCTTCAGATTCCCTGCACCTAACACTATGATTGGCACACAGTAGAGTCTTCATCTATACTTGTTAGGGAGATAAAAGAGGTTGCTTATGGAATTGCTTTGAAAATCATGAAAGCACTAAGTAAACCTAGGGAATTTATTGATGCAGAGAACAGCACTTTGGAAAGTAAAACACCAAACTGAAGAATAAAATGGTCAATTATTACTAGGCCTTGAAGCCAACGGATAATTACTCTCCAAGTTAGAGTCCCCTACACAGACAACGGAAGACAAAACAAACAACAACATTTAAAATACTTACTCTCCCTAAACAAAGTAAAAGCAGAACAAAAATAAAATTTGAAACAAAATGATGAACCCCAAACAAAACCCTGTCTTGCACTTTGTTGTGCCCCCTCTGCCTGTGTAGTTCTTGGACTAGCTCAGATGTGGGGTCCTGTGGGTTAGCTACATTCTGCTCAGCTGCCTTGACTTAGTTTGAGCTAGTCACTAGAAATTTATCTAGACCAAGAAAGGCAAGAGAACAAATGTTAAATGTCAATAATATATCTCCTCCGTATCTTCAAGAACATGGCCATGGTCAGTTCACTCGCTAGCAAGTGTTTGAAACTCCATCTCTCAGAAGTTTGCAGCCATGTCCAAGGCTCTAGAATCTGGAACAATCTGGGGATGAATTGGATTGTAGTAGTCTATATACACAGAGGAGGAGTTACTCCCTCACTCATTGCTCATAAGAACCTATGTCCAGGGGTGGCAATAGGGTCTCTGGGGTGAAAGCATATGGTTGGGTGGTGGCAGCAGGAGAATTACAGTCATGATAACTAACAATATAATAAAAATTCTAGGCTTCTCATTTACCCCATCTTGAGCTCATTTTTAGAATTATGAAATAAAATGGGCATTGTGGCTTTTTCTTGCCTTCTTTCATGGCTGATCATGGAACTTCATAGCCATGAGACCATTGCTCTCTCATTTTAATGCTCATGGCCTTTCAGTTTAGGTGACTATATGTCCACATTTGTCTGGGACAGTTCCAGTTTGTAGTTATTACCCTGAAGTGATTAGTTATAATTTCCTTTTACACTTTTAAAAGTGACTCCATTTGAATAATAAATTATAGTCACTCTGTTATCAGTGAAGTTTGACACTCAGAAACGAGACAGTTCTTACTGAAAAGAAACATACATGGCCCAGGAAGACTGTAATTAGATTCCTGACCACCACATCTTGATGTACTCATAACTTTGTGGACACTTGAACAATTTAACTCTTTAATTCTCAATTTCACATATATAAAAAAGAGAATAATAATAATAATAATTATACTCCCCTCCTAGGGATATTGTGAGGACATAAGGGATCTTTAAAAAGTTCATGGAAAATACATATTATGAAAAACTATGCATGGATTTCCATGTTTTGGTGCCAAAATAAATTCAACTTTAAGTCAATTTTCCATGAACCTTGTGAAGCCCCCTCATACAGTACATCCTGATAATGGGAACTATCATTCTTGTTCTGTTTGCCATCTTTGTTCTTTTGCTCTCTTCCTGTCTTCCTCACCCTTCCATTCTTTTCTTGACTCTCTTTCTTGCATTATTTTCTGCCTTTTTTTCCTCTCTTAAATGATGAATTGTTGGATCACATAAAAACTTGAGACCAAATCAACATGGTAGAAGCAGAATGTTTTAGCCTCATGCCACTGAACTAGAGAGGAGAGATCAAGGCAATGTTTCAGAACCCTGTAGACTTTGCAATGGGGCTGTTAAATTTGTGCTGGGACAGAGAGTTGGAGTTCTAGATTTTCCCCTCTTGATCATCTTAGTTAATCACAGTGGGCTCTTCCCTGGGTGACTTGCAACTCATTGGTTTTGGTAAAAGCTGGACATGGTGACATAAGCTTCTTCTGATTGAAGTGAGGATGGGCTGTCCTGGGAAGTGAGGATAGGTTGTCCCTGTGAAACTGGGTTCAATGTCAGAATTCCAAGTTGGAGAGGGCATGGAATGGACAGGTTGTTATTTGTAGTTCTGGGACTAAGCAGCATGCCCTGGTATACATGAGTCCCATTCTTGTCACTATCCCCACAGTTTGGAGAACCAGAAGAGGGGAGTATAGGGGGATTACATGCAGTGACATTTCCAGTCAGGCATCTGAGGGGTGCATCTTCTCTGAAAGTTCCTGGTGTGATGACTGCATGCTCAGATGGCCAGCTGGGTCTTTGCATACCCCCTCCAAGCCTCTGTTTCTCACATGCCTCTATTTGTGGAGAAAATGCATCCTGCAGAAAGCCTTCTGTTTCATCTCTAGCTTGAATGCCATCCACCTTATGAATCTGGCAGTCCAGGAAACTTTCAGGATTGAAACTCACATTCAAATTCTGCACCAAAAAAGAGATAGATTAAGATGGCACCAGGGAAATACACTGCCAAATGTTCAGTTCAGGAAAAGATCTAAAGAACTTTCCAGAACAGTTTTACCAGGACATGTCAGAAAATTGTTCACAAGTTCCTCAGTTGACACTTTGCTTTTGGAGGTACTAGAATACTTCTGGATTTCTCATCCCTTCCATCTCTAGGAAACCTGGAAGTTCTGAGACTTGTATATTGTTTTAGTTTCCTCTTTCCAGGGAGCTGCAGCTGGACTTTTAGGAGAGACCCTAGTTATGGAATTCATTAAAGACCAAAGGTTGAGGTTCAACTGTTCTTTATCCTGCAATATATTCTTGGATATTGGGATTCTGTCTACATAGCACTTCTTTAAGTACCAGAAGCCCTCACCTTTTTCGGTTTCTTGCACAGTTGTTCCAAAGTCTTCTTATGATCAGGAAGACTGGGCCATACAATAGGCTTAATCCTGAAATCAAAGGATATTGATAGATGAAATAAATGGTAGAAGGAGAAGACTTTTTTTCTGAATCAGAAATCAGTGGACAGATTTCTAGTCTTGACTCTGCTACAACTAGGGGAGTAACCATGAACTACTAGTGATTTGCTATCTCCGAGCTCAGTGCCCTTGCAATCTAAAGAGCAATTAGATCAGAGATTGTTGCTATTGGTCTATGCTATGAATAAGACATGGCAATAATACACCTCTGGGAAACAGCCCTAGAGAGAAGGAACAACACGTTTTGCCATAAGGTAGTTTTGGTGTAGCCATGGAACTAAGATCTGATCTGATCATTTACTCTTTTTTTCTTTCTTTTTTTGGAGAGGTTTTTGCTATAGGGCACGTGCACTCGCCAGGCAGAGAGAGAGAGACATAGAGACAGAAAACGAGAAATCACCCCCCAGGGGGGATGGCCATGCTGCAATCCCTTCTCCTCCATTCTCCTCTCAGGATCTTGGACACGCACGCACACGCAACTGGTGTGAGTTTTAAGCCACCGGGTCCGGGATATGAACTGCGGTCGACTACATGGGAGCCCAGCGACATAGCCATTATGCCAACTGCTGGTCCCGATCTGATCATTTATTCTAATACAGGTGTGGCTATCTTATCCCTTCTCTTCAATGGCAGCAACTTCTCTGCTCTGATTTTAGTGGAAGTGGGGAATATTTTCTAAGTTGCCCAGGAAAATTGCTTTAGGATGGTACTATTTAAATTGAAGTATTTGTAATCCTGGGGCTATGTGGCCCAGTGCCCACTTAACTGTGCAGGTTTAAAACATCATTTTTACAGCCCTACCATAGGATAGAGTACAAAACTTCCATGAATTTGTATGTTGAAAGTCAAGACCTCAAGTACATTTTGCATTTGCTATAGGTGATAGCTTCTATACCCATTAGTAGACTGGAGGAAATGTTTGGGAAACACCACTTCAAAGAATTGTTTGGAAGGAGAGTTTGCTTTATATTTAGTTTATATATTTTTTGCCTTTCATGAAGTCAGCTATGAAAGTTCACTGGCACCTGGGTGTGAGTAGGGATGCTGAACACTATAATTCCTGAAATGTCTTGCTCCTTTCACAGTTTTCTAATCAACAAATGGGGCTCAGGCTCTGACTGGGATCTTGATTAGTTTGAGAAAGTCACCTTTTTTTCCATAACACACAAGCCAAGATGACCAGCAGAGCCATAGAGAGGAAACTCAGAATGCTGATCGTTAGCACGACAGGATCCATCCACTCTGAAATACAAGGATAGATTGTGGTTAGCATTCAGTAAGCATGCAGTAGGGTAGAATCATAGAATTCTTTGGATTTATTTAGCACTGTGGCTCTTTTTATTGTGTATTGGAAGTTGCTCTTCAGTAAACAGGATGATGTGCTAATATTATGGTGACATTTGACTCAAGTGGTATACCTTGGGTTACCAGGCCTAGAACATCTGTCACTTGAAATGTAAAAGTGATCTAGTGCCAAGGTAGCACTACTCTCTTTCTGTCTATTACCACTAAGGAAAAGAAGCTAGGGCAGGGAGTAAAGAGATAGATGTTCAGCTGTAGTTATAGGAAATTCTAGGGTTAAGACGGGCAGCTGGTATGGTAGAACAGTCCTCTCAACTCTCAAAGGGAAGGTATATGTGGTATTTGTGCCCTTAGGGGCCTGACTAAGCCATGCTTTTTCACTCTTCTGAACATTCCCACTTCCTAGACTCTAAGAACATCAACGTTATTCTGGAAAAAGAGACATGGGACTGCCACGCTAGCTTGCTCACCTACCACCATCAAGTGTTTCATAGAGGATCTCGGGAAGGTTAGCTGTTGGGATCCCAGGCCACACTGGTAAACCGAGGTAGTAGGGATTTTGTTCAGAATTATTAGGAGCTGCCAGGAATACCTATGGCAGTGGTATCTAAATAGTCTGCACTCATTAGTAGGGATTTTGCTCAGAATTATTAGGAACTGCCAGGAATACCCATGGCAGTGGTATCTAGATAGTCTGCACTCATTATTTAAGTTCTTAGATAACTATTACTAAGGACCCTACTCCACTGCATCCTTGCTCTTCAGAAAAGAGGCCAAGACAGTAGCAGGCAAGACATTCTTTAAAGAAAATGTGAGCATGGCTTCTGGGGAGTCCTGGTTCATAATTTAGTTTTTTCAGTCGCCTTTTCATGTTCACTCCCACACTTAGACCGCAAAACACTGCTGGAGAAATGAAGTCTCCTCATAGCTATTCCTTACCTCCTTTGGACTCTGAAGTTCTAAAGTGGTAACTTGGGCTCCATTCACTCCAGAAGCCTTTAAAATAATCAGTAGGGATGGATCGGACTTTAATCTCATACATTGCATCAGGTTGTAGCTTTCTCTGCAGGAGAGTCAGTTTTGTGTTGGATAAATTCTTGTGCTAAAGAGCAAAAAGTGCCATTATATTTTTAGTATGGAAAAAGAGGTGTTGTCCAAGCATTTCACGTTGTACTCTTTTAATCATGGAGGCTCTCTCTTACTTGTTAAGATAAGGAGTTCTAATGAGTGCAGGGATCAACAACAGGATGAGGGGCAGAATCTGTGTGCTCAGACATGATACCATAGGTGGCCAAAAAGGATTTTTATTCTAGTGAATAACACATTCCCACTTTAGAGCGATATAAATGACTTCCAGGCTTCCTCCTTTTCTGCATTTTAATATTGTCTTTTTCTTTATCTTTTCTTTCATGTGCCAAGAGGGATGAAAAGTTAGGAGAGTGAGCAAGAATCACTTCCCTCTGGAAAGATGCCATTTTACATTGTGAATAACAATATGGATGCAACAGCTTCCTCATGGTATTAACCCCTTAATACCTTAAAGAAAAAAGCAAAAGCAAAACCAAAAAACTATCAATTTGTTGGGTAAAAAGTAATACAGGAGCCAGATGATGACGCAGCAGTAAACGTAAGCTCTATAGAGTTGACTCACATGGAAAGGTTCTGAGTTTGGTCTGGAAACCTCCTTGAGCATATTGGACACACATGTCAATGATTTGGGGCTATCTGGGGATGGATCATAGCATGAAGGCTGTGTTGGGGTGTTTATCTCTCTCTGTGTTTGTCTCTTTTGCTCATGGGAGAAAGAAATACACAAGCTTTAAAAATGAAATACATATTTAAAAAATAATATGCCAATGTTATTTATACATATTACTTGTTTTATATATTTATTGAAATGGTGTATTTCTTATTTTGTGAGACTTTTCCAAATTCTTTGCTTATTTTTCTTTTCCTTTTTTATTTTAATGAAAGAGAGGAGAAAGATAGCTATTTTTGACAGAGTCTTGCCATGTCACAATTCTCCTGCCCTAGCCTCTTAGTTAGCTAGCACCACAGGTGCATGCCACCATGCCCAGTCTTTTAGGATGGGCCAGGAGCTATACCAGGGCAGCCTCTGTGTCTTCAGTTACTATGCAGTGGTGCCCTCCTACTTGTGGCTGGCCATTTACTCATTTTCTATTGTGATTATTGTAGCCTTTTTAATAAAAAATGTATTTAATTGCAATGATCTATTTCAGTATTTTATTGTTTATTTATTAATTTTTAAAATTTACATCCAATCGCTATACATCGTTAAAGCATAGAGCACTGCTTTCTCCAGCATGAATATGGTGCACATCAGTCAGTTTTTGAAAACAAAATTGTTGAATGGTCCCAGAGTAAATGCAATTCTAGGGCAATAAAGTACATAACATTACGTTTTTATTTTATAAATCTCCTTGATCTACATACCATCCAGTTGTCTTCATCTTTTTCTTGACGGTAAGCTACGTCATGAATTAAATCTTTTATTGTTAAATAGCTCTTTTGTGAGTGTGAAGTATTAAATGTCACCACAAATTCCTTTGCTTCCTCATGATACATAACTTTTACGTCAAAAGGAGCCTCGGGTTTAACTAGAAAAGAAAAGCAATGACGTTTGTCTAAAGGGCAGTCAAGTGAATAATTTTAATTTTTGCTTATTTTAATTTTTGTCCATAAGGCACATGCACTCACTGGAAAGACACAGAGAGAAAAAGAGAAAGAGAGAGAAAGTGAGAAACCCCCCCCCCCCCCCGGAGGGATGGTCATGCTGCAATTCCTTCTCCTCCATTCTCCTCTTGGGATTTTGGACACACCAATACACATACCCCATGAGTATTTCAAGCCACGGGGTCTGAGACTCAAACTGGAATTGACCATGGAGCACCTAGTGCCTTAACTGCTATGACACTTGCTGACCCCAGAAATAATTTTAATTTTTTTAAGTCTATTTTCTTGAAAATCACTCTGATCCTTCTCAGTTCATGATATGACTGTTCAGAAAACCATTTCTTCTTCCTAGGATCAAATCTAGACTACAGTTCTCAGCATCCCTTGCAGCTGGATGTGGTCTTCGGAGCTGTGTGGGTGCAAGTGACAGGCACCTACTCTTGTCTTGGCCCCCAAACTTTCCTGGACATAACTCCCATGCTCTGTCCTCATCGCTGCTTGGAGTCATATATTGAAAATGGTGGATCCATAGGATACAAGGAACCCTGAGGATCCTGCTTTAAGATCACCACTCAGGTCAGGAACACCTTTTTTTTTTTTTTTGAGAGATTTTCACTGTAGGGCGCGTGCGCTCGCCAGACAGACAGAGAGAGACATAGAGACCGAAAGCGAGAAATCACCCCCCACGGGGGATGGTCACGCTGCAATCCCTTCTCCTCCATTCTCCTCTCGGGATCTTGGGCACGCACGCACACGTGCCCGGCGTGAGTTTTAAGCCACCGGGTCCGGGACACGAACCGCGGTCGACTACGTGGGAGTCCAGCGACATAGCCATTACGCTAACTGCTGGTTCCCAGGAACACCTTTTTTGACTCTGACCTAAGTGACAAATAAACTTAGAGTGTTTGAGATATTGTATACTTTGGAATTTGTTACAACAGCTAATGCTAATTTTACACTAAAACACATTCTCTTTGCCTATTGAATATTAGACAATTTTTATCAACTCACTCTAGAGTAAAAATAATTAAACTTTCATTTTCCAATACAATTAGATTATATGCTGAGAAACTTGCACTTCATATCAGCTATGTAGAAGCTGGGGATCTGTATCATTGCCCTGCCTCATATCTTCCAGAGTAGCCTGAGGCTGTGCCCTCTGCCTGTCAGCTGCATTAATTGTACTCCTCTGGGCCCTCTTCCTTCTGTCTGTCTGTCTCACAAAATTGCCTTTAAGAAAGCATACACCATATAGGATATGCTATAGAGAGAAACAGGTATTATTTCAGGCAGAACAAGTGCTGAGAATGGTGTTGATTTCCTGAAAAGCCTCAGTATCAAGCCACTTTACCACCTGGTACCTACTAGTTCCCTGTCCTGGGGATCCTAGCTGTGCTTTTCCATCATTTGGGAAATAAGCTGTCTAGGAATGGGGTTACCTTTGTTTTGTATGACTGGTCTTAGGCTCCATTGTTAATGAAAGGGCGTGTGTTCTTCAGACTTCTATTTGGTAGGCTGAACTCGATTCTAGGCTGTAAGCTGGACTTTAGACAGACTTGTTGGCTCAATAAAATAATTCCACCTGGAATTTGGCTCATTTATTGTAGTTATTTGTTCATGTTGGTGTCTACCTAAATTTCTCTGGCATTGCCCTCTTAGAGGTTCTGAAAAAGAAGTTTCTCCTTTCTTACTCTTAAATGTCTTGTGAAAGGGGACGTCTCTTTCACCCTTGCATGCACTACACAAAGGGAAAATGTCCTAGGGGGAAGCAGGAGGATAGGCACTGAGTGTAGAGAAACAGCCCAACACAGAATCCTGGAAACCCTCTGACATCTGCCAAGCAGTTCTGACCTTTCATTCACATTCTCAATGAAAACTCGGAGACTAAATCCCTTGTCCTGTCCTACTTTCCCAAGGACTCTCAGTCCTGGGGGAATTAAGGGGAAATAGGACAAATATAGATTACACACCTATTAAGTGCTGAGAGCTTTGCTCATGTTGCCGTCTAAAAAATAGTCACTTATCACCACTACATTGATGAGAAAACAGAGTCTCAGGAAGATTAATAAACAAATTCGGAGCCCTGCAAAGTGATTTAACAGGATTTAAATCCAGTTCTGTGTCATTCGAAGGCTCTCCCTTCATTTAACTTTGATTCTTATGCCCTGTCATCTCATACTGGCTTGCCCAGGTGATCTCCAGACAGGTCTGCCTCTGCCCAAGTGTTGTCTTTGAGAAGGTGCTCATTCCTCAAGCAACATTTTTAAAAGTTTAATAAAGTCTTGTGCAACTTGAACAGTCATATTGATCTACTTTGCCAAGAAGTGAGATGGCAGGAAGCTCCTCCTCTAGTATTAGAGGGTGAGGTATGCCATAAATAAGAGGAAAGAAGTGAGAGGGCTGGTGGTTGCTGCTGAGTTCTGATTCTGGGGTTCAATCAGTAGCATCCAGCTTCAATTAAGTTAAATGACAGTTCCATTAATAAAATGTCACATTAGCAGCCAGGAAAAGATGTTGCAATGAGACTTATCTCCCCTACCTCTTACCTTGTTTTCTTAAGGATACTTTCCAAAGCTCTTTGACTCCCAGCACACTTTGCACAGTGGCCTGTACTACCAGTAGTATGTGTACTCTGCTCCTTTCCCCTGCCTCGCAGATGTGACTCTGCTGGGCATTAGGGGTGTAGCAGAATGAGGACCTCTAAGATCACTGGGCATATGAGATCAAGGGATTCAAATGTAGGAGGGTGTTCTCTGAAACAGAGAAACAAATGTTTCAGAGAACATTTGGGTGTGCCTTGAGTGTTGACATCCATGCAGGATCTTATATACTGATGTGGGGTTGTGTAGGAATCAGTTCTTCCCTAGTTCTCTAGGACTTTGTTCAGGGACCAAGAATCTCTGCCTTGGTGGATAATGGGTATTCAGCTCCAGTTAGATTTCATACAGATTTGCTCAATTTGTAGATGTCAAATACCCTCTTCTTTACCTGAGTTTGAAGATCCTCAGAATTTCTCACAGAAGGAATTAGTAGTATGAACTCAAAATTTTTCATTTAAAAAAGTGCATTAAGAGAGTTTACTATTGTTTATTGTAAATAGTTTCCATAATTTCTCTACTTTTAACATAGAAAAGGTCCAGATGCAGTCTTCAGATATACAAAAAATGACAGCCATATCCATACATAGATCTTACCTATCTCAACTATGTTAATGTTTTTACAAGTTATCTTCTTGTCTCCAAGTTTCACACATATTTTGCTGTCTCCAACCAGTAAGAATTTCTTTGTCCTGAGGAAATATCTGTCTTGCAGTTTACTAAGATGCAGACATTCTACACCCACAAGGTTCTTGCTGTAGAAACAAAAAGGGAATCTGTCTTGACTCAGATAAGAGTTTCTGCACACAAATGGAATCATATAGTGGGTACATTTTAGTTGTATGACTCCAGCTCTTTCTATAGATGATGTGAGTGAGTGGTTCAAGTGAGAGGGAGAGAGAATTAATTAATATAATGTGGCTTCTAGCTGCTATTACATTTGATGATAACTTACTTAGGGGTTAAATCCAATTGAACCTGAACTGTCAAAGGATTTCATTAAAATTATTAGAAAATTTCTGTATTTTTATAATTGACCAATGGAAACAAATACTTTGTTCAGGTAATTTTTTTATGTTGTGCAGGAATAATGGAAGAAATAAAGGTTATAAAAAATATTGAACAAAAGAAGGGTTAAAAGAAACCATATAATAGTCTAAAGGACTATATACTTAATATCTCATATATTTACTATGAACCACCTAAAGACTTTTCATAGGCAATTTTGACATATAAACCCTAATAAGATTGGTCAAGAAGAAAAGCAAAGGTATAAATTACTACTATATGGACTATAAGTGAGGATGTCACTATAGAGTATGAAGCTATTAAAAGTGTAATTAGAAAATATACAAAAATTATGTCAATGTATGTATATATAGGAAAAAATTAGTACCAATCTTACACAATTCTTCAGGAAAATACAAGAATGAATCTTTTCCATCTTCTTTTATGAAGACAGTTTAAGCCTTATACCAACCACTGGAAACAATAATATATAAGAGATATTTATAGACAAATATTGATAGTTGAACCAATGACATAGCAGTGACCCAGAACCTCAAGAATGAATATGCAAAATTCCTCAAGAAAATATTAACACATTGATAGTAATACACATGACAAAGCAGGGTATATCTTGGGAGATCAAATAAGTTCAACATGCAAAGATCAATGCCTATAATTTGCCACGTTAAAAGAATAAAAAACTGAGGAGAACACCACAGCTTTAGGTATAGAAACTGAGATGTGATCTATATATATCAGATTTTGAAGATTTAGTATAAAATAAATGTAAAATATCTCAGTATTTTTGTTTATATTGGTTACATGTTAAAAATGACAATATTTTGTGTGTACAGTGTTAAATAGCATATTGTTAAAGTTAATTTTACCTATTTTTTCCCTGTTTTAAATGTGTCCACTAGATAAGTTAAAATTATCTATGATACATTTGTAGATTGCATCATATTTCTGTGGGATAGAACAATTCTAGGGCATTTTGGGAAGCAGGAAAGATCACTGAAAGTATCTAACTAGTACTGTAGGGTACTGAATTGGACACTGTAGGAACTTCCTAGAGGAATCGAACCTTAAACCACTCTCAAATCTGTTCTGAAAATAGGGAGATCATGTCACCTGATTTTTGACCCTATCTCTACTCTCCTATATATAGTTTAATATTTTAAACACATTATTCCTGGTGCAAGTAAACAAATGTTTATGTGAAAATATTGAAGCAAAGCAAAAAAAACTAAAAGCAACTATTGTATCCATTCCTCAGTTGGTATTACATTCCACCCCAAAGCAGAATCAAACTTAAAGATATTGAGCAATTCTGAGGATTAGTGTGGTTTACTATAGAAAGGACTAAATAAATAACACTCAACACCTGATAGGTATTACTAGTTAAATCTAGACTGTCAGGGTTCCACCTGTGATAGTGGTGGTAACTGATGAAAACTAAAAATGACATATATGAAGTGGACTTTATAGGCATTATATGAGAGTGATGGTATCTGTTTCCAGAGCCCCTGCTTTCGTCACTCAAAACAATTGAGATCTGACTAGAGTTTTGATGAATAACAAATTTTCAGTTCCCTCAATAAAAGTGGACTTATGTTGATATATATTGCTCCCTCTGCCCCTGCCAATACCAACTCTGCAGTTCCAGAGTCCAACATGAATATTTCGATCTCTGTGATAATTGTTTGTTAACGTGAAGTGGTTAAAATGCACATTGCTGGTAATCCAACTCTGTGAATTAGGTTAATCCCAGTCTCTCTCTGAGATCTGCTCACTGAGCACTAACTAAATCAGTTTCTAGACCTGGGAAACTGGTGGCTGGATCCAAGGCAGGTGAAAAATTCATCACCCTCTTGAAGATGGCACCTGGTGTCCATCAACAATCTCACCTGTGTAACAACTCCATTAGCAGACACCATTTTCAATAAATTCCAACTTCTTCTTTATAAATTTATATTAATAAGAAAAAGATCATTCCAATAAAGGTAGTTTCATTGTGAAAAGGATACCCAACCTAGCCAGCAAATATAGTTAACTCTGTTTACCTAGATTTAATTTGTGATACATTGGCTACTCTGAACCTAGGACATATACAAATCTCCCCTTCAAGAAGAAGATTTCTCTAGAATTACCCTAATCTACTAAGGAGTTCATACTTAACTGCTTCACACCAAAAACAAGTCTTAAGGAAATCACTTTTCAATTGAAATAAGTGTGTCCAGTTAGAAAGCCCATATAGAGGCTCTGGACAGATTAAAAGATAACTAGCAAAAATCCAGATTGCTGAAAGAAGTGGGTTAGTTTTGTTCAAGTGAGCAAAGAAGTGGTCCAAAAAATATGGCATGAATGAAAGTGGACAGAAAGGTCAACCTTGGCTTGACCAAGAGTAGTTTAGCAACTAGCTGGTTAGAGAGCCCCAAAATCAGACCTCTGAGTAGGAGGATGTTTGTCTATGAAGTAAGTGAATGAATGAATCCATAGGCTATTTTAGCATAGTCTAGTTGCAGCACAAATTCTGAACATTGTAGGTTTCCATTCTCTCTACATATTTTATTCCTAGAAAGTATGTTATAGAAGTGAACTAACACAGGCAGACTGAGAACACACTATGAAATTCAAGTCCAAGACAGCATTTATCAATGACTGTAACAGGAAACACTGCATAAAGATATTTGGGGAGATCCTGTAAATTAGTATAAGATGTAATCTGAGATTTGTCTGAACTTTATATTGTGAAGGATAATCTCAGTGTCTTAGAATTTTAGAAGCCCTGACTTACTATGGGTAAATCTTAACTTACTTCCCTAACTAGGAAAATAACTAAAAATTAGGTCATCTGATATGAATTTGGAGATAGCCCCAAGTCAGAATTTCATGGTAGAGTATATTTTTCAAGTCATAAGAGATAATAACCCTTGGCAACAAGAAATGACTTATGGAAGAAGGAGAAGATAAAGCTCCCTGAACATTTTACCAAACTTTTATGCATGAGAGATGGTCTCTTTTCCGTTTTTTGCTTTTTCTCTGAGGGCTCATGAAAATACAATCTAACTTATTTCTGGAGATTTTTGGAAAATTTACATTGTGAAGACCACCTGAAGTTATAAACTGTGTCTAGAGTGTAGATGTTGAGTCTATATTCTCAGATTTGTAATTTGCTTATAATATATCCATTATTCACTGGATGATTATTCTGAGGACTCCACATATTAAACTATTAAATCATCACAACATTCCTATGATATAGACTACCACATTTTACTGGCGAGGAATTTGAGGAGGCATAGAAAAATTACATAGTAAGCACTAGTATTAGATAGAAACCAGGCAACTTTACTCCAAAATGCCTTTCGAAGATTCTAGATAGTCTCATGTTGGGCAAATAGAATGAGAAGAATGCTCTAGGAGGAGCAGTATTTAAGTTCTGCTATGTAATTGGCAGTTAGATCCATAGTATCATTTGGCTGTAGCCTCAGGACCTGAAAAATGAACTGTGAGAAATACTTTGCTTCACTCTTTTGGTGAAAGACAAGAAGATTTTTTGGAATTCATTAGATTTTAACATTTGAAAATTAGGGCCACACAGCCTTTCCTTTGAAGCAATAGACAAGAGCACATGAAGAGAAGAATTGTAAGCACTAATTACTCACCATATTTCAAAGTCCAGATTGGTGCTGTTGACATCAGGATCATCAAAAGCACAGGTCAGCGTGTGCTGGGGTCCATTCACTTCCAACTGACTATAGCACGAGAATGAGTAGTCATCAGGTTCGGCATCCTCCAGGTCTCCTGGGAGAAGAACAAACATGTGGGTGGTACTGAAGTGAATAAATGCATCCTCTTGAAACCTGGTATGACATTAATAAATAACAGATTTATTGTGGCAGACATGGACGGATGAGATATCTTGTCTAAAAAAAGGATAATTCAAAGGCAGTAGCAAGAAAAACACCTTAAAAACAAAAACTAGGTAAATAAAAAGAAAGTTTATTACTGTGAATAAATAACCTCTGACTATTTCTAAATATTTATGCTATTGAGTTAGTGTATTAGAGCAAAATAAACAGGCACTGAATAGATTTTTTCTGGAATTTTACCCGTTACTTTTGTTATATTAAATGTGTGTCCAATTCAAATAAATAAACTATTTCCATCATTCACATACTACCCTATATAACTTTTGACTTTATTATTAACCTTTGTTATTCCTCCTATTTTTTAAAATGAAGAACAATGATAATTATCTTACAGTCGAAAGTTCACTTTTTTAAAGGGGTTGCATCCCTTGCCTCAAAAGGAATCCCAACTGGCCAACTGCAATGGCACAGGGGTAATGCATAGCAGCTGTGGAAAGGTCCCAGTTTTGTGTCCCAAACTCTCCCTGTAGATGTTAGGTATATGCCTGCAATCCAGGCTAGCTGAGGCTGGGGATGGATTGTGGCACAGAAGATGTTGTTGGGAGTAGTTGTCTCTGTTTCTCTCTTTTTACCCATCTCTCTATCTCTTTCTGTGATTCTCTTATGGAGAAAGTAAGTAAGTTTATTATTATTTTTTTAAAGGCATTTGCTGGATCCCATATGGCCAACTGCTATTTGAGTCTCAGACCCAATGGGTTGAAACTCATACTAGGCATGTATGCCAAGGTCCCAGAGGAGAACAAAGAGAAGGAATTGTAGAATGGTCATTCCCCTGGGGGGTGATTTCTCACTTTCCTTCTCCCTGTCTTTGTCTCTCTCTGGCTAACATAAGCACCCTAAGGCAAACATCTCTACAAAAATAAATAAATTAATTAATAAATAGCATTTCAAGTAAAAGTGGCATTGATTATCTCCATTCTGTGATTATTTAAGGTAATTTGTTTTAATTTACTTGCTAAGGTCAATGAAATGAGGAAACATTTGAGCAGAACTCAGATATGGAAGACTGTCTCAAGAATGTTAAACATACATTTCTGTTCTTAAAAGTTCTTCTAAGGTCAACCCGTGGCATGGTAGTTAAGGCAGATGGATCCCATATGGCCAGCTGCATGGTTCAAGTCCTGGACCAGTGGCTTAGGAAATACACTGGGTGTATGCACATGCATGTCCAAAACCCTAAGAGAGAGGTGGAGAAAGGATTGCAGCATGGTTATCCTCCCTGACCATGACCTTTCTTACTTTTTTTTTTCTCTCTCTCTGTCCCTCTCTGGTGAGTATGTGTGCCTTATGACAAATTGAAAAAAAAATCTTTTATAGATATTTTATTTTGTAGATGCTAACAAGATTTTGAAAGAGAGAATTAGGTGTTTTTTTTTTGTTTGTTAGTTTTTTTGCAGTCACCTTTGGAAAACATGATCTGTCATAAAAAGTACATATTTAATTTTTTTTTTAAGGAGAGATTTTTGCTATAGAGCATGTGTGTTCACTAGAGAGACAAGAGAAAGACAGAGGGACAGAAAGTGAGAAATCACCACCCAGGGGAGGAGGCCATGCCATAATCCCTTCTCCTCCAGTCTCCTCTTGGGATTTTGGGCACACACAGATGCCCGGTGTGTTTGAAGCCATTGGGTCCAGGACTCGAACTGCAGTTGACTATGTGGGAGTCCAGTGACATACTATTATGCTATCTGCTGGTCCTATATGTTTGATTTTTAAAGTTGGATCATGGACTCTATGATTAAGGAGACATTTTGTGCATCTATTTTACAATATTTAACAGAAAAATGAGGCTAAAAATATCTATTGTAAAATAAACTCTGACTAGGATTTGAGAAAATCTGGAGTAATCAAAGCCATTCTTAGAGTTGTTGAGTATGAGCCTGTAACTATTTCCAGGTATTTAGGTACATTGATAGTAGAAATTTGATACTTCTAATGCTTTGTTTTCAGGATATACTAAAATCAAACTTGTTGAGTGTTTTAGAGATACTGGGCAGTTCAAAACAGCACTCTATTTACTTAATTAGCTCAGTAGGTCTGGGAGAAAGTTAACGAAACTGATTGTGTCAGTAGACCATCCCATAGAGTGACGGTTTGGCTCAATCAAAGAACAAACCTTGAGCAGCACCAATTAGACAAAAACCATGGGTACTGCTCATAACTACAGGCATTTGTCATTTTGACCATTCCCAGGATCTACCTGGCTCATAATTCCGCCACTAGCAAAGTTTCCTTTTTTAATTTCAGCAGGGTATAGCCCTCCTCCTGTTGTCAGTGTTGTATAATGAGAGGTAGCCGACCACTTTGGTTTCACCTTTCCAAACATGTTCATTTTTAATTTTATACACTCCAATCTCTTCTCTGGAGAGCTGGCACCTTTTCTAAGTGGAATGGTTCTGGGTAGATCTAGCCTGCCCTTACATGGCAATCCTCATGCTGTCTTGACTTTTTTCTCATCTCTGGAATTATCACCATCCTGTACAATAGAACACACAATTCCATTTGGATTCAGGCATCCTGTGGATCAGCTAGTCTCCACAGTTCTTTGATATACATTGGAAGCTGGAGAGAGCTCATTCTAGAAGATGCCAAGCACCAATAGAATGCAGGACTTTACTGATCTCAGCCATCTAGTTTTCAAAGCATGTTCATTGTATTCTCTCAAACAATATGCAAAGCACTATCAATATTATTTTCCTGTACTCAAAGTGGTTGTGTTTTAAGAAGCAGTTCATTGGTTCCTTAGCAGGTGTTACTGGCCAGAACTGCTTTGTAACCAAGAAAAATTCCTTTCAATTTATGAAATTACATGACATTTTACAAAGAGAATGTTCTACTTGATGTGAGCTGAAATTTCTTAGCTCAGGGTATGGTACACAGTGGCTAAGAACTCTGGTGTCAGAGCTTGACCCCTACGTGCTTGATTCCTGCCTCTCCTCCTTTGTAATTGTCCTCTGTTGGGTTTTTCGACCTCTGTAAGACTTAGTGTTCTGACATGTAAACTCATGCTATTATAAGGAACCACTGAGAGGATGTGTATACAGACTGCTTAGAACACGGTAAGCAACCAAGAGGGGTTAGTTACGACTATTATATTTTCTAAGCATTAAGTAAAGAAAAGGTAAAATAAGAATTCTAATTCTGGGGATCAGCAGATGGCAAAATGGTTACTTTGCTAGACTCCTAAGTAGCCAACTACAGTTCAAGTCCTGGACCTGGCCGCTTAAAACTCACGCAAGGAGTGTGTGCATGCCCCAAATCCTGAAAGAGAATGGAGAAGGGATTGCGACATGGCCAATCTCTCTCTTGCTTTCTGTCTCTCTGTTTCTCTCTGTCTCTCCAGTGAACACACACACCCTATAGCAAAAACCTCTCTACCAAAAAAAATAAAAATTCTAATTCTGAAAATTTATATGAAATATTTGGGGTTCTCTTGAAAAGGAGTCCTGCAGCAATTGAAAGTATTATCATTATGGTTTTGAAATTACATAGAATTTTTCAAACAGTGAGCTAATGTATTATTCTTTAAATGCTCAATTATCTATATTATTAATATTTAAATAAGTAAGCATGTTTACCCATGCACATTTTCTTTTTGGAATATGTATTATACAAGAGGCAATATGGGCTTAGATATTTTCTTCCTATTGAAGAGGAGCAAGTTAGTTAATAGCTTAAATGATTTTGATTTTTTAAAAGTATTCTTTCTTCTCTTAATTCTTTCTTCATCCCATGGTTATCAGAGAACTAACTTCTCTTTCTGCAAGCAGCAGATGATTGTTTTATGAATTCTTTACACCACAAACTGGGAAGTATTTTGATGTGATTGTGTGAATGGGTGGTTACAGAACTCCTAAGAGCATCTGAAATTTAAAAAGTTGAAGTGAAAACCCAGCTTTTACTTAGAATTTTAGTTTTTGTAAAGCAGTATGATCACCAGGGAGAAAGAGCAGGAAAACATACCAAAAGAAAATAAGATGTATGTGTTTCCCTGCCAAGGATCTGTCTTTGTACAAACCTAAGGTAACATTTAGCATGAGATAATGATCATCTTCCACAGAGTGATTCATACATGGCCACATCGTGAAAAACGTCAAACTTCTGATAATTCCTGTAATGAGAAAATTCTAGGGATTTCCATCCTTAGTAATCACATGATTTAAAATATCTAAGCTGAGTCATTAGGCTAAGGTGTTTTTCCTAAAAACATTTGAAATTTAAAAAGTTGAAGTGGAAAAACAGCTTTCACTTAGAATCCTTATTTCTTGTAAAAACAGTATGATTACCAGGGAGAAATAGCAAGAAAACATAATACCAAAAGAAAATGAGATTTATGTGTTTTCCTGCCAAGCATCTGTCTTTGTACAAACCTAAGGTAATATTTAACATAGGATAATGACCACCTTCCACAAAGGTGTTTTATACGTGGTCACATCGTGAAAAACGTCTAACTTCTGACAATTTCCTTAATCAGAAAATTCTAGGGATTTCCATCCTTAGTAATTACATGATTTAAAATATCTAAGCTGAGTCATTAGGCTGAGGTGTTTGATAAAGCTTATATGCAAATACCTTTTAACTCTTAAAGCGAAAGGGCTTAATTTTCAGGAACAAATTGGAATCCAAGTTCTTTGGTGGTTCTTGCTGTTACCGGATACTTTTGCCTGCAATTTTGTTGTAATTGCAAAGTATTTACTAATTGAGCAGAATTTGCTTCTAGGTAGTACACACTTTTATGATCCCGCAGAAAATTATTACACATAGAAAGTGTGTTGCTATGGAGACTAAGAAGTGATGATGTTCAGGGAGACAACACACTCAAATCTTTCTCTCCTCAGCTATTG